CGAACTTTGACATGATGGTGAGCTACGGCATCCGCCTCCGCGCCGAAAGCAAGCGGTGCCAAATGGCGATGCTCATCAACCAGGAGAAGGCCAGTTTGTGGAGTAACACGGACATGACCTTTCAGGCGGACATTGCCCTCCACATATCGAAGTTTTATCCGGGCGCCGTGGACAAGATATACGTCTGCAACATGAGCCGGACCCTGGCGGCACTGGCAAAGCCCATCTTTTCCAGGCTCCCCTCGATTGTCTCGGATCGCATTATGATCATATCCGACGCTGAGAGGAAGTCCGGCAAGCTGTTGGAGTACTTTGACGAGAGTGTCCTGCCGGTGGCGCTGGGCGGCAGCAACGACTGTGATCATGAGGAGAACCATGCCAGGTTTGCTGTGACCATCAGGGAGCACTTTGAGCAAATGAAATCCGCCCTGCTCCGTGGCCTCTCAGCGAAGGAGTGGGAACTGACGTGCCTCTTTCCACACGGGCTTCCGGAGGACGCGAACCCGCTTGCTGAGCGGCTGAGAGGCGAGCCGCTTCTCTCCACGTTACACTCTAACGCCTTTGAGGATTCACTTTGGAGCCCTTCTTCACCGGCCATTAACTCCTCTATTGGCGTTGAATCGTTGGATCTGATCACGTGCGACTCGCTTAACGCGGATTGCTTAGTCGCATCCCACAGCGACGGAGGGAGGCATGCCGTGCGTGGGCTGCGCGCTGTTGGGCATTCGTTGACGATAAGTAGTAGGAACTTTGTGGATGATTACGTGGAGCAGTTTGTCCTGCTGGAGTCTTTTTTCCGCAGCAGCATTGCCGAGACGGCGGAGCGCGAGTGGCTGTCTATTTTGCAACGCGAAGTTCCGGCACGTCGCATGCTGCGTGCTGCGGAGCAAAATTTCTGGAAGAACACGCTTTTGTTTCAACGCCTGCCCGTTTTAATACGGCTTATTTCCAAGGGCTCACTTTGGCTGGCGCTCATGGTGATGTCGGTTTACTTTCTCATTGCCACTATTTTTGGAACGCTTTTTCTTTGTTGCGTTATGAATACACTCTTTTTTTCGATATTCATTAGGCCGTACAACATCTTCCCGTACGGCTGCGCCCTGATTGTGACGGTGTGCCAGTGCGTCCTGTTCTGCTCGCGCGGGGTTGAACTGATGCGTCGCACCTACGAAGGTCAACTGATCGACGCCTTCAGGGTGATTGGCCCAAAGGGGCTGCTCTTGCAGGGAGTGTTGTGTATTGCAGCTGTGATTGTTTTTTTTGTGGTCTTCTGCGTTATGGCGTCAAACCACGGCGTGGCTACTGGGATTCAGTACTCCGTTGGAAGTGGATGGGCCGTGGCACTGTGCATTATAGTGCTGTACCACTTCCTGTACGCCTTTGGAATGACAGGGTACCGCAGAAACTCCCGACAAGGCGATACCAGTGTTGCGACGCTGTACTTTTTTCTAGATGTGGATATGGACGAGAATCACAGCACCGTGCAGGATACACCGACCACGGAGGTGGCCGTTGCGTCTGTTGTGGCATTGTCAGCCTTTGTGTGTGGATTTTGCTACTTGCTGCACGGTGCCATCTTCTTCCTTGGTGCGACTGTGATAATGACTTTCCTCGTTGCTATGCTCGCAGTTCTGTTTGCGAACGCTGGTAACAATCTCTCCACAGGCAGCTTGTTAATCGTCGCTGCCCTTTACTCTTGCCTCACATGGTTGACAATAGTCTTTACCTCCGCGGCGCACGGCTGGCGTGGGAATTGGGGCAGATCCTTGGGCGCGCTCTTAACCGTAGCCTTGGTGACAGACGCTGTTATTGTTATTTGTGCATTCATGCCTGTACGGAACCGGGTGGCGCGTCGTTGGATTTTTCGTGCGGCATGGGTGTGGATTGTGATACAGTCCGCTGTCTTCCTCGTTTTTGCATTTCTCACTGACTACCGCATGGGCATCATCACACTTGCGTTTAGCCTTCACTTGGTGTTGTACGAACTGCGGGCGAACTACGGCTCCAGTAACTACGGCGTGGTGCTCACGGTTGCCGTCTTCGTCGCAATGTTACTCTTCTGCGTCTTGGGTGGGTGGCAGACGACACGTGTCCGCTACGACACGCCGGCTAGCCCGTGGCTGCTGTCAAATTACAGCAATAATGCGATAGCGGACTCTGCCTTCCCCGCATATAACCATTTTCCATCATCGCTTCCGGTATGTTGGCCGCGCTTTTCTGCTCACGTGGACATTGTTGGGATGGCGCTCTTTGCGAAGCTGTCGAATGCACGCTCGTTGGACGTCATGCTGACGGACCTCCACGCGTGGTTTCCCAACTTTACGTACATCCACAATTCCAGCTTCTCTTCCTTGTCCTTTTTGCAGACGGAAGTTTTTGAGACCTCGTCCAATGGGTATACCACGACTATTCTCACTCTTAGTCCCAGCGACCACATCTACCCTCTGATGGAGTCCATGACGATCTGGGTAAACGTGGTGGCTCTTTCGCTGCTGTCACCCGTCACACCGCCTCTCTGGTTTATTCAGTTGGTGTCGTACTTGACCGTAGCAGAGAAGTTATCCCCGCTGCTGTGGAAGGCCTCCATCGCCCAGGCCCGGGAAAAGTTGGGTCACTACGTGGCATCTGTTGTGAGCCCAACGCATGAGGTGTTTCTTGTGGGGCACGGCCTTGCTGGTGCAGCCGCCGCTTTTTTTGTTTCGGACATGCCGGAGGAAGTGCATGGTGTGACGTTTGCCTCGCCGCTGAACGCCATTGCGTGGCGTAGTGGCCGTCAGTGGATATCCGATGCGTTGCCTGGCCGCGTCTTGTCTATTGTGTCATCCTCGGCGGTGTTTGCGCTGCGTTGGATGTGGGGAGAGTTGTCGGAGGTGATACCGTGCAGGTCGTTTGCGGGCGAATGCCACAACATTGATTCAATTGTGCGGATGCTGTGGGCGTTTTGCCGTTACAATAAAACACTGCCCATCGATTAGAGGGACCCCGCGGAGCGATTATTATTATTATTTTCTTCTGGACCCCGGTGAGCCAACGAAGTAATTTGGCGAATAATCCATGTGACCAAAGCGAAGCGTAGATCTACTTGGGATACGCAGAAAGAGTGCGTGCCGTGGTGCACAGTAAAGCAGCAGTTTTTTTTTTTGTTTGCTGGTGTTGGTAGACATGAAGGGAGATGTGTGGGGGTGTGCCACTCCCGCCTCTGCGAGTAGTTGTGCGCAAGTCTCTCACACCTTATTTGGTCGGTGGATGCCGCTCTTCACTACATATTATGTGGATGTTGTTTGTTTTTTTGTTTCGCCTTCTCTCTTTGGCTTTGCTTGCACCGTGTTAGTTTCCCACACGCGGCCCGTGGTGCCCACTCCACCGTTTGCTGTGGTGAACTTTATTTGTTTTTTTCTTTGTTAGGCCGCCCCGCCGAGAAGGGCGAAAGGGACGCAGAGAATTGGGCCAAAGGCGTCTCGTACTTTTTGCGCCTTCCGGAGCAGGAGAAGGACGCGATGAGTGGGGCTGCGCCCGTGCGGCGTGTCACGGCGACCTCTGGCGCCGGCTTCAAAGACGCGCTTTTTTCTCCCACCCGAGACACCGCCACGGCAGACGGCAAGTCTACGCGGGGCGGGCGACGGAGGTCTGAGGCGGAACGCCACGGGGTGCCGTCGCTCCAATGCCTTTCCCGCAATTTTGAGTTTCTCTCCCGTGAGGTGAGACAGCTCTCTACACGCGGAGAAGCGGCGTCCTCGCCACCGAGTTTGGCTTTGCCCGAGCAGCAGCAGCAGCGGCCGAAGTTGCCGCTTATTCGCGAGCTCTCAGCAGTGACTCCCAGAATTTTGTCGCGGGTTCGCAACGGTCCGCCTTTCACGTCTCGCACTAGGGCTTTCACGCATTTTGTGGCGTTGGAGGAAAGACCAGTAGCTGTGTCACCTGCAGTGGCGTCAAACAAAAAGGCTTCGGCGGAGAGATGCGTCACAAGTGATTCACGGCGGCCTTTGTCAGGAACACGAGCCGCAACCTCCTCCGGGAGCACGCGAGGAGGCCGCATTCGTGTGGTGGTACGCAAGCGCCCCATGGAGCCTGGTGACACGGGGACGGATGCTGTCTTGGTGAACTCCCCTTGGGTGCACGTCTCCGTCAAGAGGCGACGCGTTGATCTCACCGACTACGAGGATGTAAACGACTTTATGTTTGACTCCGTCTTTGCGGAGGACACGACGAACGCCCATTTATTTGACAGCTGCGGCAACGACCTGATTGTCACAGCACTCGCCGGCGGCAGCGCCTCATGCTTTGCGTACGGCCAAACTGGTAGTGGCAAGACGCACACGATGCAGGGGAATCAGCAGGAAAAGGGACTGTACCTTTTAGCCGCGGTGGAGTTGTTCATGCGACTCCCGCCAGAGCACGAGGTGCACGTCGCCCTGTACGAAATTTACAGCAACTCCCTTTTCGATCTGCTGAACGGCCGCGTCCCAGTCACGCTGCGGGAGGACCACCACCACCGGATGAATATCTGCGGCCTGTCGTGGCACAACATTGCCTCCGCGGAGGCGCTGCAGTTGCTCATTGGCAGGGGCACCTACCAACGCCGCACCGGCAGCACAAGCGCGAATGAATGCTCCAGTCGCTCCCACGCCGTCTTGACAATCCGCATCCTTCACCGCCGTGACGCATCGTTTTGTGGAACGCTGAACTTCGTCGACCTCGCCGGCAGCGAACGGGCGTCGGACACGGCGGCGGAAGACCAGCAGACACGCCGGGAGGGGGCGGAGATTAACAAATCGCTGCTGGCACTGAAGGAGTGCATCCGGGCGCTGGATGAGAAGAAGAAGCATGTGCCGTTCCGCGGCTCAAAACTGACAGAGATACTTCGTGACAGTTTTATGGGGAATAGCCGGACTGTGATGATAGCAAATATCTCTGCCTCCTCCTGTAACTACGAGCACACGGTGAATACACTTCGGTACGCCTTCCGCGTCAAAGGCCTTAGTGTGGCCAGTGTCGTTCCGAGTAAGGCGCGTAACGCGCCGCGGCCGGTGCGTCAGAATGTCTGTGACTTTTCGGAGCTGCTGAATTTTACCAATGACACAGCGGAGGATGCGCCGACGCAACGAGCAGCCACGCCGTTGAGGTGTAGAACTCATCCACACGGGGTGGGCTCCCAAGTGTCTGGAAATCGCAGCCGCAGACCAAATATGAGCCACCCGAATGCGCAGGGCAGTAACATGATTGTGTCTCCGCCTCACGGGATGTTGCTTGCCAATGAGAACACCCCCCGTATGAACCTCCATGCGATGGCGCATGAAAAAGTATTGAATTTGATTCCCCTGGACAAGTTGCGGGAGAAGCTTTCGAATACAGACGACATCAGTGCACCGGGCAGCGCCGACGCGTTGGCGAGCCCAAGTGGTGGAACGACGGAGCAGCAGCAGGTTTTGGAGATTGTCAATCAAGTGGTGGATGTGTTGAAGCTTGAGATGGAGCCCTTGCTCATGAGGGGTGTACGGAGGCGTGATTGTCTTATCAGGAAGCTTCGCAGCGAAAACATTGCTCTGCGGGCAATAATTGCAACACTGGGGAAGAGGGCGGAGGAGTGCAAGTATTGCAGGCGACAGTTGGGGGAAACATTGGCGGCGCCCATAACGTTATAGCCGCCAACTGTGTCTGGCGGTGCTTGTATGTGCGTGTTATATATTTTATTTATTTTTTCTACTTAACACTCTCGAATCACTTGGTGCTTTTGGTGTGGTGCACCACTAGTTGAGGGTCTTTTGACTCTCTCTGTTTTGTTTTTTGCCTTAGCGCATTTTCCGGTGGCACGTCTTGACCACAGCTTCGTGTGATAATCTCCCTCGTTCCGTTGACGTTGGCCGGATGGAAGGAGTGCTGCGGGTGGATGCACCCATTTTTTATGACGCCTATTTTCCCTGTTGCGCATGTCTTTCTGTCTGTCTGTGTCTGCGTGCGTGTGTTTATGCATCAGACGTCGTATATGTTGCTTTCTTCGTGTGCGGTGTTATTGCTCTTCTGCGTACGTGACAACTACGGAGCGCGTCGCTTAGCCGGAGACACACCCCTGCGGTGGACGTTCACGTCTTCCTTGTCGCTGCTTTGTCTTGGTTTGACATGAGTCTGGCAGCGGTGGTGGGGATTGTCGAGCCTCTGCCACTCCCCCCACTACGGTGAAAAGAAGAGTTAATGAGACGAGGGGCTTGTGGGCGGCTGGGGCAGTCCTGTGCGATAGCTCAGTAAACATGATGCGTTTCTTTTTTTTTTTTTATGGGGTGCGTGTGGAAAACCGTGCAGCATCTCTGCTTGTGCCGAGCCGTTTTCGGAAGGGATACACGGGACGACAGATGTTGAGGCGTGCACGAGATACAGGCACATTCATACATACACGCACATGTGTAACGTTGGATGCACCTTCTACCTCAGAATGGATTGTGTTTGTGTGGTGGTGGTGGTGGGGCATTTGCTCGGCGTTGGCAGGCCTTTGCATCCACCTCTTCTCCCTCTCCCCTCCTCCCTGCGCCACCGCTTCACCTCCGAGGTCGTCCTTCCCAGCACTGGGAGCAGACACCCGCTAGAGCGGAAATGGATCCGTGGCGCAGTGGAGGGGCAAAAAAGGATAAATTTATATCTGTGGGTTTGTTGTTGCGGGATGGTGGGGAGTTGTGCAGCGTGGAAGAGCACGTTTTTATTTCTCTCTCCCTTCCTCCAACTCCGTTTTTGCTCTTGTGTGTATCTGGCACCCTTCCCGCCCCTCTCCCTCCGAACACCGCAACTTGTGGAGGCGTGCAGAAGCAGGCGTCTTGGCGTGACGCCGAGCTTCGTTCGTAGACTTTTGGTCTTCCGTTCCGCGCCCTCACGCAGAAGCCAAACAGGAGGGTGGTGGTTTATGCGCCAGACAACCGTTTTTTTTTTGCTGGTTTGCGTCCTATTTTGTCGGCCTTTTCCACCTTGGCCTCCTGTCGCTGCGCAGGGCGCCACTGGACCATTCATTGTTGTTGTTTTTTCTGCTTTTTTGCTTCCTTTGTGGATCGCTCGCTTTTGTTCTCTTCCTTTTGCTCCTGCGTGAACTACTTTTTTTTCTTTTTTTTTTTGCAGTACCGCAATGAAGGGTGGAAATTTCGAGAGGGATGCGTGGCTGGTGAGTTTGCAGCTCTTCCTGGACGTGCGGCTGCGAACCGTGCCGTTTCACGTGGCTTCGCGCAGTCGTCCCGGCGTCTCTGTCCCATTGCCGGTTCCCAACACGCAGCACATCATTGACGGTGTCATGTGGAGCGTGCGTGACCACGCGGCGTGGGCGCCGGACGCCTGGCTGACGATTCAGAATCATCTCCACGGCTGCTCGCAGCGCCACACTCAGCTGGTGGAGCGGCTCTCACAGACGCACGCGCCCACAAATTTACAGGATGGCGAGGAGGTGGAGCGGGGGCGTCTTTACTCTAGTCACGCGTGTGTGCAGGACCTCTACGTTGCCTTCTGCGTCGTGGACGCCTTCCTGCGCCACGTTGCGGGGGAGTCGCTATCGACTGCACGAGAGGCTGTTGAAAAAGAGCTGCCGCGTCTTGTGGCGGATCACATGCCCATCTGGCAGCCCGCACGCAGCCAATACACACACGATGCCATTGAGGACTGCCGGCTGCTCTTTCTGGACTTGCTGCGCTCTTGGGCGGTGACGAAGCTGCTGCGTCCCGACACGCACCGTCGGATTGAAGAGCACGTGCGGTATAAACTAAAAACGCTACGGCACAATGCCGCGACTTACGAGGGCGACAAGAACGTTGATCGCCGCCCATCAGAGGCAGTCAGCGCCGGGCTGCGTGTGCTGCTTGCTGGCACAGGGCCGGCGCAGGAGCTGACACCTGCGCCGTCGACGCCGGCACTCGCCACCATTGATGTTGTGCGCCGGAACATGCGGGAGTTTGTCGTTGCTATTTTTCCGTCGCACCGCTCTGATGCAGGGAAGAAGCGCTGTGCCCACTGCGGTGCTGTGTTCAAGACGCTTGCCGCAAAGAGTGCGCACTACCGCTACCACTTCTACAACCGCAGTTATCTGACGGGGGAGAAAATTGTTCGCTTGCCGTACCCCACGCTTCAGGACTACGTTGCTCACGAGGTGAACTCGCGCGTCACCGGGGACTTTGTCAGAATCACGGAGGGTCTTTTGGACGTCCTCCGTGTGCCAGACAAGCGGACAGTGCACGTGCGAAGGGAGAAACGAGAAAAAAAGTCCTCGTGAGAGGGGATGCGTGTGTGTGTGTGTATTGTTGTGTTTTTGGGCATTTTTTCCCCTTGCCTTGTCTGCATGTCTGCTTGGCTGCGTGTGGCAGCTGCGTTTATTAACAGCGGCAACAACAGGGGAGTTGACTTCTTTCCTCTTGTTGATTTTTTGTGGTGTTCTCACTTTGCCTGTGCTTCTCTCTCTCTTTGTGTGTGTGTGTGGTTCCATCAGGGTCTGAGAGAGTATCCGCCGCCTTTCTACCCTCTCCCTTTTTGTGTTTCCGCCTTTTTTTTAAAAAAAAATCTTCTTTGCATTTCCGCGTCCGCATGAATCGCTGGGTTTTGCACATGCAACCGAAGCACACACATGAGTGATGCGGCGAACCCTCACAACGAAGCGCAGCGCACTCGCTGTGCTTGGCCTGGATGAGCGGGTGTGTTACTCCGAGGCGGAGGTGAAGGCGGCGTATCGTCGACAAGTCAAAATTTTGCACCCCGACGCAGGCGGCAGCGCGTCGCGTTTTTGCGAGTTGCATGACGCGTACTGTTCATTGTGCGGCGGTCGCAAGTCCACCGACGCGACGTCTGAAACGTGCGATGGGAGCCCATTTTACACTAACGCCCATTCGCAGTGGTGTAGTGGCCGTTACGACGAGGGTAGTTGCGGTGAGGCTTTTGCGCGCGGTGCCTCCCGTAGTAGTGACGGTGATTTTGGCGTGGGATGGGACGACGACGGGCGATACGCAAACCGGTCGACCCGCGACTTTTACCGCCCGTATACCTCAAACCCCTTTGCTCATGGCTACACCGACGAGGAAGTTGTAGAGGCGAAACGACGGAATGGGTGGCGTGTGGCGTGGGTGGTGCTGAAGCACGGACTCCTCTGGGGCGGCCTGGCGTACCTCCTCTTTGTTTGCTGGTGCGAGAACCGCATACAACGCGCTATTGAGGCCCGCAATGGCGGCTACGTGGACCCGGCGTACTGGGAGAAGCTGAAGGGAGACGAGAGGCGTGGGTATCCCCCGATGGTGCAACTGCACTGGACGGATGCGAGCAATGAGGAGTTTAAGCGGGCGTGGAACAACGGCCTTGAGGCGCAGCGGCGGCGGGGATCGCCGTTTGGGGGCGGGGGCGGCTACGCAAGCCGTTCGGTGGCGGTGACGTTTCAGGGTCGCCCGTTCACTGCAACGGGTGTTCGCGGCGCTCGCACCGGCGTCTGGAAGACTGCGGCGACGTATGAGAGCGACGAGCACTGCGAGCTGGACGACGTGGAGAGTGACTGAAATCAACCCGCACAAAGCAGCACAGGGAATTGTGGTGGTGCGCTGTGCGTGCGTGCGTGTGTGTGGCGGTCGAACGCTTCCCCTCTCAAGCAGCTACAAGAACAAGACAAAAAGTAGTAGTCGTTTGATGTTTTTTTTTTTAGTTTTTTTTCTTTGCGACGATGTCTTTTGAGAGTTAAGGTGGAGAGTACCGTTTGTCTTTTCCAACAGTTTTGGGTGGCTGCCTCTGCGGCTTTTGCCGCGTCTGTCGCTCTTTTTTGTTATTGGCGGCTTCTCTCCGCCTTTCACTTCTTCATGTGCGTGCGCCTTAATTATTATTTTTCTCGTACCGTCTGTGTGTGCGCCCTTCTCGCTCCGTCGCCCCCTCTTCGCCCGAGGAGGTAGTACCAACAGCACAAGGTCTAGCACACACATACTCCGGCGCAGCCAAGGGGAATTCCTGTACGCATTGGCTTGTCTACAAAGCCGTCAACACTTTTAGGCAAACGTTGTGGGAGATATGAGTCGGAAGGTGGGCGCGCAGATTAAACGGTTCTTCCAGGAGAACGCCACGACACCCGAGAACAGGACCAGCGAGGAGAAATGGTCATCAAGCGAGGGCGGCAGCGTGTTAAGCTGGCTGGCGCAACGATCTCTCCAGCAGCCATCGCGAGGAGCGATTGACTACCTCAGCAAGGCCCGCTCGTCCGAAAATCCACCGGCCGTGGCCCAGAGCTTCGTGCCGAAGCCGCGCTCTCAGCAGCAGCCGCAGCAGCAGCAACAACAACAACAGCAACAGCAACAGCAACAGCCGCAGCAGCAACAACAACAACCGTCCATGGGGTCCACCGCGAAGGCCTCGCGTGTGTTGCCCGCAGCGGCGCTGGGAGGCCAAGTTGTCCAGCAGGTGAGGGTGGGCGATACAATCATCGTTCCTGGCGAAACCTTCTCGGCAGGGGGCCAACGAGATCAACCGCAACTGCGCGTGGCGACAAGCGAAAGGAGTTACCGGGGGCGAGGTCGTCGCGAGACGAAGGAAGAGCGCCTCAAGCGGCGCTTTGAAAAGATGGCGGAAGAGGCGCAAAAGCGGCACGAGGAGGCACTTCGTGCGGATCCGGAGTATCAGAAAAAGTACCAAACCTATCAAGAGCTCCAGGCGGCTCAGCACGAGGCGCATACGGGTTTTCTTGAGCGCTATGCCCATCAGGAGCACCTGAATCTTAACAATGCGGTCATTGAACGTCTTGACATCCCGGTGATTCTTGAGCTTATTGAGCAGCACGATGTCACCTTCATTTGCACGGATACGGGCAGCGGCAAGAGCACATTGGTCCCTAAAGCGCTTCTGGAGCTGTCCCAACACACGCGGGTTGTTACCACCCAGCCGCGCCGCACAGCCACCATTTCCATTGCGTCAAGAGTTGCCACACTGCGACGCGAAAACGTGGGTGAGGATGTTGGATATTGGATCCGTGGCGACAAGCGAGGCGATGATCAGACACGACTGTGGTACATGACAAGCTACACGCTCCTGCTGCACTTGCTAAATAATCCTCTGAACCCCCCCTTTACGCACATTGTTCTCGACGAGTTTCACGAGCGGCAGCCGGACATTGAGGTGACCGTGGCCCTGCTGCGCCTTTGCCTTTTGAAACAAACCTCAAACTTTAAACTCATCCTCATGAGCGCTACGCTTAATACCGCGGACTGGGAGGAGTACTTCACAGGGCTCAAGGTGGCAACATACAAGCAAAGCGAGCCTGAGCATCCAATTCATGATTACTTCATGGAGGACGTCTGCGCGTTGACAGGAATGCGGTATAGTGGGCCATTGGATATCCTGAAACGTAACGTGGGCTTCGCACTGCTAGAAGAGCACATGACCATTGCGCAAAACCTTATCATCTATCTTAACCTCTATGCGGACCCGCAACACGCCGTATTGGTCTTCTTACCGGGCTACGCGCAGGTGGAGCAGTTCCAGCTGTGGCTCGAGAGAAATATGCCTAAGCCAGTCGATGTTGTGCCATGGCATAGCTCGGTGGAGCTTTCCGTCATTGAAGGCGCTATACGCCGTCGGGACTTGTATCGTCAGAAGATTTACCTGGCGACAGATATTGCGGAGGTTTCCATCACGCTGCCAGATGTTGTCTTTGTGATTGACTTGGTGCTGGTGAAGCGTCCGAAGATTAACCGGGAGGATCCCGCCACCGTGCTGCACCCTCCACTGACGATGCAGTGGATTTCAAAGGGAAGTGTGGCACAGCGACGCGGTCGCATTGGTCGTGTGCAGCAGGGCTTCTACTTTTGTCTGCTTCCCTCCTCTGCCGTTGCGTCTCTTCCCGATCACGCCAACCCACCCATTGAAAACACCCGTATTGACGAACTCTCTCTGCACTGCCTGCAGCTTGTGTCGAACCCAGTGGCGATATTTAGCATATGCCACGGCCAACCGCTTTTGGAGACTATCACGGTCTCCATGGATACCTTGTCTCATCTGGGATGTATTATTAACAAGAAGGATCCTCTGGCAGGGGGCGAGCGCATTTCCGAAATTCATTCCAACAGCCAGTGGAGCCCGTTGGTGCTCGAGGCGGCGAGGGATGTCGTTCTCGCAGAAGTCGATCAATACGATTGCACATTTATTGGTCGAATCCTGCAGCTCATCCCAGTCTCCCCGCAGGCTGGAATGCTTGTCTTTTACGGTATTTTGACAGGACTTGAGTCACTCATGATACTGGCAGCGGCGGTCACAAGCAGTCATTCACCGTTTGCTCCAAACCCACATGAGCAGCAGCGGCGAAAACGTGACAGGCTTCCGCAAGCCATGGAAGAGACGGAAAACGTCATGCGTGACATGTGTTGTGGCCTACGCAGCGATGTTGTGGCGGTCATGAAGGCCGTTCTTAACTTCCGCGTGTGCGTCAGCGAGAGCGGCGACGATGCCGCACGCGTGCGTCAATGGTGCCTTGACCACCACCTCAGCCAGGAAAAGCTGAGGAGCATTCTGGACCTCGAGCAGCACATCAAGTATGAGCTGGCCAACTTTATTCCCTTTCGCGACGTTGTGGACCCGCAGGAGCTTGTTGTGCAGCTTGAGAAGATTGCGCCGATTGTTCTTGTCATGTCGAACGTAGCCTTTGCCTCTCAGTCGCTGGAGGTGACAACGGAGGGCAACACCTACACGAACTCCGTGGAGACTGCGGTGGGTGTCTTCACCGACACCACCGCCGTGCCGGACATTCGCTCGCCGAGCTGCCTGCGCTGGCAGGAAGGCGACATTGTCGTTCCAGTGCAGCTCTCTTGTCTCGGCAACCGCATGCTCGCCAGCTTCGCGACTGCCATTGCATCGCACAAGCAGTTTTGGCTATCGCTGCTCTTGCTGACCCACCGGGTCCACTACGCAGCATTCGCTGACGACGATGGCGCCTTTTACGTCTTCTCCGTGAAGTACCACAGCATGACGCGGTACGTGGAGACGGACGCGCAGACGGGGTATGCGGTGCTTCACTTTCGGCGGCTCCTCAGTCTGGCGTGCCAGACGCTGCGACTTCAACATGAGCATCAGGAGATGTACGACGACGAGTTCACCGCACTGCTGCATCGCTACGGGCTGAAGCCTCTGTTGGAAGCACAGCGGGACGTCATCACAACCATGGCGGCCTTCCTAAATAACACGGAGCACATTACCGTGGACGAGGTGGAACACGACGAGGAGGACCTTGACGAGGTTTCCATGATAACTCTGGCGCTCCCGCAGCCGAAGGAGGACTGACGGCGCAATAATTATTTTACAAACAAACGACGCGAGTACACGCAACCGCAAGGTGAACAAAACGAAAAGGATGATGAGAGGAAAAGGAAGCAAAAAAAAAACAACAACAACGCATGCGCGCGGACGGAGCCACGTAGAGACGCCAAACTCTGCTGTGTGCTTTGTTTGGGTGTACTGCTGTGAACTATTTGAACATGCTGGGTGCGCGCCGGTTGCCGTGGCGCAGATAAATATAGATATCTGCATCCGCACGCACGAACGCGCGCGTTGTGTCCCCCGTGGGCCGTGGGGTGCGGCGTGTGGCGGTGGGTCAACGTCCCTCTCGACGCCTTTTCTCTTTCTTTCCTTATGTTCCTTTTTTCCCCCCCTTCCGTGCTGATGTGCCTTGCACATTCCTTTAGTTCTACATGGCGGGCGGAAGGGAGGGGGCGTCGAGGCGCCGACGTGATGCCCGCAGGAAGGAAGCGAGCGCATGTTGGGGCGGGTTCGCCAACCGCCAATGGATCCTTTTGCGAAAGGCGCTGCCTTCTTCACCTGGACTCTCGGGAAGACGCAGAAGGACTTTTTTTGGCACTACTTTGAAAAGAAACCGACGCGCTTCTCGCACGGGGAGTCAGCGCACTTTACTGAGCTGCCGCTTGCAGTGCCGGCTGTGAGGTGGTCAACAGAAGTCATGCTTCAGCTTGCGGCCGAGAAGTCGCCGCCGCACGCAACCGACGTCAACATCGTCTGCTTTGACGCGGCGCAGAAGAAACGCGTTTTTTTTTTTTTTTTGGGAGGAGGGGGGCGGCATTCTGACGGAAAACGATATGCGACGCTGCATGCGAGAGGGATGATCCGTGAGGTTTTTGCGTCCACAAGAGCGCGCCGCCGAGAACTCCGCGGTGCTCGTGCGTATGGAAGAAATATTTGGCTGCTTTTGCGGGCTGAACAGCTACTGGACGCCGGCAAACAGTCGGGGATTTGCGCCACACTACGACGATGTGGATGCCTTTCTGCTGCAGCTTGAAGGCTAAAAGGAGTGGCGCCTGTACGACCCACCCCCGAGAAGCTTCCCAAGCCACGGCAGACACTTCGCCTCGTTCCTGGCGATGTACTGTACATGCCCGTGGTACAGAGCATCAGGGACGGACCTGCATCCACGCCCACTCGCTGCACGTAACCTTTTTGGAAAGCCAAGTGAATGCGTGGGGGGACTTGACGAAACACACCATCACCCACGTTGTGGATAAGTTAGCGGCAAACCACATTCACTGACGGGAGGCACCACCAAAGACAGTGGGCGCCGCATATCACCCGGCGTTTTGCGGAGAGACCCGTCTCTCCGCACTGACGGAAAAACAACAAAAACGTCGCCTCATGCTGCAGTTGGCTTTTCAACAGATGGAAGCCGACATCTTCGATCACCTGTGGGACGAAGAGATTATGGATGAGTGCTGTGGCATGTGCGTGCGACAAACTTTGGCGAAGCAACAGCCGTTGCCATCTTCTATTGTCTGCAGCACACAACGCACGGCTCCCATCAAACTCAACTCGATTATTTGTCCACTAGCCCCCCATTGTGCACGGCTGCTGCTTGATTTTGCAGGGGGCGTATGCATACCACTGCTGTGTCATCTCATCTGTATGCCTTGCCTCGCCGTGCCGAAGGGTTTGCCGCGTTTTGAAGTGGGCGTTGCTCCTGCCATCGCGACCGTATTGGCGGTGTCTGCGTGAGGCGTGTGCGTGTCTGACTTACCGGTTTTTTCCTTTGGTAACGCTGTCGACATTCTTGCGAATCGACTAACGCCGGTGGAGGCCCTGCACGACGCAGGCATCCCGCTGTACTGTAGTTCGCTACAAACTGCCTTACACCTTCTCTCTCCCCCCCCCCCACACCACACACACGTGTCACACTCCTTCCATCGGTCCATATTTTTACGTGCCGTGTGTCTTCTCGAATTAATTTGGCGGCCTGCGCGCCAGCCCCGAAGAGTGGGAAACTGCGGTGAAGGGGCAGGAAGCGTATATCACCCCCATCACGCAGTCACGCAGGAGGAGCGCTGTGAGGTGCTCTCCTCCCTGCCCTTGGAAAGGACAGCAACAACAAAAGTGACGCACCGAGAAGAACAAATTTATACACTAATAGCGACACGAAAAGAAAAACAACAACAACGAATCTACAATACATCAAGAGGAACGGGGTTGCCTACCAGGAGGTGTCTTAGGTTATGTTGCAACTGTGAGAGGCTTTGCGTTTCTTTATTTGCGTAGATGTGCTCTTGTGTGCAGCGCTTGTACAACTCGAGGGGAAACTCCGCTAACACTCTTGGGAAGCATGGCTTTTGCACGTCCTCAATATCCATCCCGTGTCTTTGCCGAGGCGCCTGCGTAGTTGGAGAATTTGGTAGACGTGGTTTTTTTCTTCTCACACTCTGCACGTTGGCTGGTTCTTGCGATTCTCGGCCGGTATTTGTGGCGACTTGTGCGGTGTCTGGTGTGTGCTCGTGTGTGCGGTTGCTCTTACCTTCTTCTCTGCCTATCTGTCTATGTGTGTTAGCTCCATTTCTTTTGGATGGGGCCGTTCTGTCCTTATGTTTCTTGTTGTTTACTCCCCTCCATGTTGTTTTCTGTGCTTCAGAGTCGTTATGAACGTGGACGTTATAGATGCGACGGCGGAGGCACTTCCGCTGGAGCTGCTGAACGCAACAAACAAGGAGCTGACGGCGCAGCTGTCGCGCCACGAGCAGCTGTGCGATGATAAGGTACGTGAGATAGAAGACCTGCGGCGGCGGCTACAGTTCATGAAGGAGCATCTCAGCAACGTGCGCGGGGAGGTCGTGAACACCCAGAGCCTGGTGGAGTGCAAGCGGCGTGAGGTGGAGTCGGGGACGCACATGTACCGCCTTCTCGACCGCGAGTGCGGCCGGCTGAAGCAGGGGAAAGCGCAGATGCAGGCGCAGCATGCGGAGGTGCAGGAGCGGCTTCTGGCGGTGCAGAACTGCATCTTCCA